GGGTGTTTCGAGCTGTGTATTCCCAGGTCTCCAGTCCAGCTTTCACATTCTCCAGAGCTTGCTGCTCTGCTGAAGGAAGTGCCAGGTTCTCATTCCGTCGCTAAAAGGGTGACAGGGAAAAAAAAAAAAAAGGAAAACAACAAAACAAACAGGTCTCAAACTGACATACACAACTTGGAGAGCTCAATCATGAGCTCATATACCTGCCCTAGCACACTCTGTGTCTGGCACAGCACAAGCACTCTCTCTCTGGCAAGTGGCATTTGAGAAACCAACCCATTCCCAGGTGAGCTTGCAAACAACTCTGTATGCAGTTCTGGTAAAAAAACAACAGAGAACTAAAGAATTAACTTCTCTGAAAGATTATATTGATGACTTGTTTATTACATCTTGTGACAGTTCAAACTTTTTCTGTTTTTTCTCTATCTACTAATCAAAATTCAAATGAAGCATTCATTTCTAAAGAAGGGAAGAGCAACATATGACACATATCTAATATAAAGACAGTCTACAAGGCTTTGGTATGCAACCTGGGGAGAATATTTATACCATCCTAGTCTCAGGCAACTGTATTAGCAGAGGCAAGCAGTAACAAAAAAACAGACACTTCAATACTTAATCAGAGAGTTTTCAAGAATTTCTATAAGCAGTACAGGTATGGAAGCATTTGACCTATCCACACAGTTACCTGCGTGCTGTTACCAGCATACTAGTATCACTGGTACCAAAAAGCAGCTAATAGAATGCAGTCAGCCACCAGTAAGTTACTACATTTTAAAATTCTCACGCTAATTAAACTAGACAATTACTGCCAGAAGCTATATAAGACATCAACTGATGCTGTCTTTAATAAGTATCATCCATATACATTTAATTAGCAGTTACTGTCACTGAATATGTTAAACAAGGCATACAAAGTTGTCTGCTACACAAACAGGCATGCTGTGCAAGGAAACACAAGGTCTGAACAGAGTGTGCTGGCTGACAAGACACACATCAACAGCACAAGGCTGGGTCTAGCAACTTCACCTTGACCTAAAACCACCCCTGTGTTTTGGTAATGTTCTCCTCCTGCCTGCCTTGTAATTCTGGATGAAAGCATGTGAGCAAAGAAAATGCATGAAGGGCCACAGAGGACATTTTTATTGTAACAGACTCTGAGGGTTTGCATTAGCTGGGATAAAAACATAACACAACAGCAGTAAACACGCATGCATCAGTGCCAAACTTCATTAAAAGGCACTGCAGGTCACATCCATCATTGACACATCTGGCAACAGTGCCAGCTGCTCACTGCTGATGGAGAAAGATTGACATGGCAGCCTCAGAACAGCTCTTGAACCTCCCACAAAGCTAGCTGAGGAAGACAGAGGAGTCAGCCATACTGTGTACAGTACTTTGCTTCAACAGCTGAACGGATTATTACTAATAGAAAACTGAAATAAGACAATCTAACTGCAAATAATAAAGGGCTGACAAACAACAGGAATCGTTCTCAGCTGCTCTCCTTGGTATTGCTGCTTATGGAAAAGCCTGCCCAGAATAGAACTATTTGCATTTAGTGCAATGCTCCACAGTCTTAAAACTTTAGGAAGAGACAGATCCTCAGCAATTATGTCACCACTGTTCTTGCATTACAGATGGGGGGAAAAAAAACAGGATTGTAAAAGGAACCAATGAGCTGTCACAGGACCTATGAAACTCAGGCTTAGCTCAGATTTAGATTTGATCACCCATGTAATCAAGACCTTACTGTTCTTATTCAATTATATGAGTAATTCAATAGCCTAATGCAACAGCCCCATGCTCAGATCCAACAAATTCTTATCTGTATTCATAGTAGGATTTGAAAACAGAAGGTAAGACAATATTCTATTTAATCAAGCAAGAAATAAATACAGTAAAGTGGTGTTTCCTTGTTGTGTGACTTTGAAAGAGCAGAGATACAGCTGAGGCATTTCCCTACCTGGGCATACTCCTCCTCTGCACTGTACAGCCAAGCATGCTTGACCTTCTCCTTCTCTTTGGCCACTTCCATGATCTGTTCAAATGAAGCATTATCTTCACTTGTGTGTTTTGCTAAGAAGCTGTCCAGACTGGGAAGTGCATCTTTATCATCTTTTTCTGCATCTCCTAACAAGAGGAGGGAAGAGGCCTGAGAAAGGTTAATACTGCCCTTTCCCTGAGAGCACTATACATAACTCCTAATCCCTTCTGCCAGCGAGCCTTCTACAGACCCACTAATAATTAACATGAAGCTTGGTGAAAAAAAAAAAAAAAGAGACACAGAATGGTACAATAATAAATTATTTTTTGGAAGACATATAACCAACTTTCACATAAAACCTTTAGTGGCATTTATAGTCGTCTGTGTTAAAGAGAAAATGCACAAGTGGCCAGCTGTTAGCAGACATTTTTAATATACTATATATGAATAGCTCTGCCCCTACAATCTTTGTTTACTTACAGAATTAATTTCAGGTGATGTAGGAAAATTTACTGCCTTCAAAAAGATCAACCAACTTAAGAATTTACACAGTCAAAACCAGACCCATAATCGAGAATTCACACACATAATGTGAAACATCACAACAAGTTCAACTTCAGTGATCGTTTTTGCCTACTAGAAAGTTAAACGAAACTGCTTAAACATCTGCTAAATACCCAAAACCCTTAGAGGAGACAGTTCACAACAGTATTTTCCTGCTGATGAAGAATTCAGCTAGAGAAACATCACTCTCCTACCATCGTCTGCAGGTTTGATGCCAGCTTTGGATTTATTCCCTGGTTGAGAGCCACCTGGATGCACTTCTGGGGTTTCAAAGGTGGCTGGAGTAACATCTGTGACAGGAAAAAAAAAAAGTTCACATGGTTACTAGAGCATGGAACAGGACATCTTCCACTGCAGTAAGGCTCATGTGCCAAACAAGTCACAGATGACATATCAAGAGAACAACAATTTAATTTAAAAAGTTGTGAAAAGACTTCACAATATTCTTCGCAATTCTGTCCCAACCACTGAACAAGATTTTGCACCCATCCAAGACACTATTTTTTTCCTGATGGGAAAAATTCAGATGAGAGCCATAGCCAAGTACATTTGCCACCCTACCTACAGCTTTAACCAACAGAAGCAATCAGCAGCCTAACAATCTTAACCTAGACCAGGGCCAGCACCTGCAGTAGGGGAGGAAGGGAAACCACTTGGTGACACATGCCCTCTGCCAGCAGAAAGCTTGTTACCTAAACCCTGCTGTGAGAGCTCAGCCAGGGACTGGGCTTCAGTAAAAGAAACACCTGAACCCACAGCAAAAGCAAATGTACATCAGGGCACTGGCTGCCTGCTGTGTGAACCTCTGATAGTCACGAGCTTCCAACACCTTCTGTCCCCAATGTATGAAAATCTTACGCATCTAAGAACCCCTAAAACTGTAATAAGGATACAAAACACGTCTTAGCATTTCTAATAGTATAATATTGCAACTCAGAGCATATAACATTCCCCAGGGAGCAGGAACTTGGCAAAAGATGCCTATGGAGAATGGTTATTTAACAGGTGTTTTTTCCAAAAACATACCCTCAAGAAAGAATTATTAGACACCATGAAAGAGAGATTTGGCATCAGCCATCAGATACAGGCTACTGCACAATCTGGTACATTAATTTCCATGCAATGTCAAGCTTATATCTTTAAGATAAGGACTGCCTGCACTAAGTTAGATAAACCAGAGCAGTAATATTAGATATAAAACCCTTATGCCCCAGTGAGACAGTTCTTACAGGGTGCAGGAGTGTCCCTCGATGATTTGCCCAAGGAAGAGCCGAACTTGATCGCAATTTGTCTCATTTTCTCCAAGTCACCGTTTTCTTCAGCCTCTAGATACTCCTTCTGCGCTCGCAACTTCTCCACATCAGGGAAGAAGTCTCGCTGAATGATTTTCTCCAAACTCTACGAACAGAGAGACAGGCTCGAGGCCGCGCTGGGGGCCGGGCCGCGCAACCACGGGCGCTCCAAGCCGCGGCCGGGCCGACTGCTGCCGCCGCAGGAGCCCGAGGGGCGGCCCCAGAGCCGCCTCGTCCCCAGGTAACGCCGGGCAGAGCCGGGCCGGGCGCCAGGAGAGCGGGGCCTCCCGGGCGCCGTCCCCCGCTTCCCCAGGCCCGGGGCCGCCGGCCTACCTCGATGTAGGCCTCCTCCCCCAGGATCTTCTTGGGCCGCCCCGGGGCCGGCGCGGTCGCCTCCTTCCCCAACGCCAGGGCGGTGCCCGCGGCAGCGGCCGGCACCGCGGCGCCGGAGGAGGCCGCTGGAACCGCCGCCGCCTCCATCGCGCCCGGGCCCGCCCGGCCGGTGAAGCGCCTTGAGCCTCCTCCCCTACCGCCGCCGCCGTCGCGAACGTGACGCCACCGTGACGTCACGCCGCCACGCGCCACGGGAAGCCCCGAAACGTCCCGCCCGGGAGTGCCGCGCGGAGCGGTGCGCGCAGCGGCCAGCACGCCCCCTGCCGGCCGGGAGGACCCTCCCGGGAGAACGGCGCGACCTCGGCCTGGGGCGGCCCCACGGCCGGGACTGGGGCGATGCGGGGGATGAAGGGGATGCGGGGGGGATGAGGGGGATGCAGAGGGATGGAAGGGGATGCGGGGGGATGAGGGGGCTGCAGGGGATGAGGGGGATGCGGGGGGATGTGGGGGATACGGGGGCTGTGGGGGGATGCAGGTGGGGAGCTGGGCCCGGGCCGGGGGGCAGCCGCCGGGGCTGCAGCCTGACCCTGCCGGGGTGGGCTGGGGTCAGGGCGAGGCCTGTGGCACCCACAGGTCGCACCTTAGGTCCCTCCCCACCCACCCACCCACCCCCAGCACCCCCACCACCGCCCTCAGGGTTCCTCAAACTCCCCAGGGAGTGGGACCCCCGCCTGGGTGCCCCAGGGCAGGCGAGGGTGCAGCGGGAAGCAGGCAGCACTGGCCCCCCCCGCCCCCCCGCCAGCTTTCCACAGCACACACAGAGATGATGGGACAGTTTTATTTATCTCGCTGCTTCACAGGACGTGGTTTCTCTTTGGCCCTGCCAGGGACACAGACACCGCTCGCACTGGCAGGGGACCAGTGCAGAGGTGAGCTGAATGCTGGCAGTGCCGACCCCTCTCACCACAAAAGATGGGTTACCTCTCCCGCGGGCTGCAGGGAGAAATACATGTTTCGTTGTTCAGGAACAAATCGCCTGTCCTGTTAAGCTCGACCCTCAAAATCAACTCTAGATGCCATCAACGTGCTGAAAATAGGAAACATTCATTTACAGCATATTTTGCAAATCTACAGTAGTAAAACAGGCACAAATACTACCTGCACAGAGCAAAGACAAGAAGGGGATTCTCTGCTTCTCTTGAAGCACGCACATTTAACACTGGTCCAGCTCTGTCCCATGCATGGGCTTTTGGTAGTGGTTTCTGCTTAAGCATCTAAGGGTCATGCCTGGTGCATTATTTGCCACGTGAACTAGGTTTGGAAGAGAAACTGGCACGTGAAAGTGCCATGTCTGCTTTTACCTGTCTGCCTTCTCTGGGAATTTGAGATTCCTTTTTGTTTCATTAAGTTCCCCTCGGGTTACCCCTCTACAGAACCTGTCAGCCATGGGAAATGGATGCTCTTAGTGTTCATCTGCTGAGATGCAGCTTGACCACTAACAGCTCTCCTCAGAGGGCTTCTTGGTGCCTTGAAGGATCAGCGTTGAAGCAGATGCCCTCTTCTGATGCCGCCACTTGGCCCGCCGATTTTTAAACCAAACCTAGAAAGTACAAAGCAAGAAAAGAACTTTTCCATTTCGTATGTTACTAGAGGATTGGGCAGTTACACTCCTGGACAGTACAGTGTAAGCTTTAGGATACTCTAATACATTTCTTGATATAAAAGTTTGATACCAGATTTAATCAGTCCCTTCCCTGCAATCCTGCTCAGATACATGTAAGTGGCACAAGGGAGCTGGGATCTCTCCATGGCAAATTCGGAAGTCACACAGATCACATAAATAAGGAACATATACTTGGGTGAAGGGGATGAGCAGACTTGGGCATGTCTGTGTTTATATAGGTGATCCTTGGAGAGAGGGAATGTGTGAGTTTATGGGACTGGATATCAGAACAAATCAGCCCATCAGAACTGTTTTACATTCTTCCATTGCTTGTCAAACCTAAACTGTGTTTTGCTGAATACCCAAGAATGTTTTTTAAAATGAGGCCCTGGGTGTTCAGCTCCTGAAAAAGACAGCGCAAGGCCCCAGTCTGTGTTCTTGGGGGCTTGCAGCAAACAGCACCTCACTGAGTGGCAGAATCTCACCTCTACCCTCTCCTCCTTTAAGTGAATGCGGTTTGCCAGATGCTCGCGGGTGATGACGTCCGGGTACTGGTTCTGATGGAAAAGTGTCTCCAGGGCCTGCAGCTGGTCCTCGGTGAATATGGTGCGATGCCGGCGCGTCCGGCGCTGGATCTGGTGGAAAGTCTGCAGCTCGTTTGGGTTCCCCTGGGGACTCTTACAGACCCTGACTGCCGACTGGAAGAGCCGCATGGGCCAGGGGAACCGGGCATCTGCAAGGGGAGAGGTACAGCAGCAGTGTTAGGTGTGGGAGGCTGAAACACCCATCTTGCTCGAGGCAGTTCAGGCACAAGTTGCATCCACGCATGTTGTTTGGAAGGAGGCAGCTGGCCAGCTGGCATGGGTCACGAGCTGCGTGATCATGCAAACGAGAGAAGGGCTTAGGAGATCACTGTGGGAAAAGTGTGCAGATGGGGAGCACTGGTTGGATTTTCCTTGTTTACTTACCAATTGCACTATGACCAGCTCCAGAAAATAGCTGGAAACTCACAGCCCAGCAAGGAGCTGTTTCAGTCCTGACATGGGGGATTTCTGAACTTTTGGGATGCTCTTGAACTGCATTCTGAAGGGCTTTGCTACTTTTTTTTTTTTTTTTTTTTTGCTAGATGTATTCAAAAACTTTTCCTTAAAGGACAAGTGAGGTTCCCCAGGGCCAGTGTTGTCAGGAAGCACAGGCACAGCTCTGCACATGGGCAGCATAACCATGGGGCCCCCCACTCCACAGAGAACTTCCGCCCCTAGAAGCATCATCCTCTCAAGTGTTTTACACTAAACTGGTAATACCCAGTCATAAATAGCACCTGCTGCTTTTAAAACCGTGGTAGCGTTGCAGGTGAACGTGCCTGCTCTTGGGAGCCATGCTGAGAACAGAGCTCGGCTGGCTGGAGCTGGAGTGGTGGCAGGCCAGATGCTCTATTGTCACTCAGTGCCCAGGTTCTCCCTTCTGCCCGGCGCTGGCACCAGCCCCTCCATGAGCCCTGTACCGTGAATCAAACCCAAACACTCACCCAGCCAACTCGGTGAGTCCTGCAGAGAACGGGTGCTCGTGTGAGAACAGCAGCAGCAGTTGCAACCTGCCCCTTCCATCTCTTCCTCCTCCTCCTCCTCCTCCTCCTCCTCCTGCAGGGAGCTGGCCGGGATGGTCTCCAGCTCACACAGCCCCTTGGGTGCGCAGTCCAAGATGCTCCGGAGGCACAGTGGGACCAGGACCTGGGGGCTCTTCTCTGCTGGGCTGGAGAGGATGTCCTCGATGCTGAATGAACACGGCTTCTTGAGGCCTCTCCTGCCGGCGTCGGCGTCCGATGCTGTCTCTGAAGACATCATCTTCCAGCAGTAGCAGCCACGGGAAGGGGCAGCTCAGCCTGAGTGGGGTTTGCTCTCCTTGCAATAACTCTGGAGTGGAGTCTCGCATGGAAAAAGTCAGCTTACGTAGCTTTTAAAATGGACTGGCAAAGCCATCCAGAACCGCTGCTTTGTCTTGGCATTTCAACTGACTATACACACACATGCACCTTTTCTCATTCTAACCTAGCTGCTTTATGACTGAAGCCACCCTAAATATATATATAGAGAGAGATATAATCCCTTTGGAAAGAAAACCGTAAACCCCCCTGTGAATAAAATAAATTCTAACTAATCTTGGCAGCTTTGTGAAGGGTTAGTGTGGATCTAAGATTTAGCTAATCCCACAAAAATGACTGGAGAAGGAAATCTGATTTCTCCATCTCGGGTGTAGATTTGAGGTGGTTATGATCTCCATTGTGCTGCAGCCTCCGATCCAAGGAAGGGGGAGGATAGCTGTTCCCAGCCCGGAAATGGACCAGAGGATTAACTCCTTAAAAGAAGCAAATTATCCCTTTCTCTGGCCAAATGAAAGCTTTCCCATCAAAAGAGAGCTGTCATATCATACAATATGAGAGAGGAGAGAGTTCAGCTTAATAAAAAATCATTTTTAATGATAGCACAGCCTTTGGCTGCACCAGAACTCTCTACGAAAGTTGATTTATTTACTGCTGAAAGCAGAGAAATTGTATTTACCCTCCTTCCCCTTTCCCCCACCTCCACATGCCCTAATCACAGTGATAATGCAGATGCTTTGCATGTATCCAACATACTCTTTGTAAGGGTTCAAAGCCCTTAATAAATTAGATTACCAGCAGCTCATGGCAGCTCTGTGGCTTAGCTTAGTGGTGTATAGCCGCCTCCCGTACAGCCGAGCTGTACCCCTGCTCGGGTCAGGAAGGGAAGGGGAGGATTGCTGCCTGCAGCCTCTGTGCGGGCAGGCAGGCAGCGCGGTCCCACAGCAGCTTGGGCAGGAGCGTGGTCCCAGTGCCACGGCTAATGGGCGGTTCAGTGAGCCCAGAGCAGCCAGGGTGGCTGCCTGGGGCAGCCAGGCTTCCCCAAAGCTCGGTCTGTTCAATTCCCAACTTCTTCTGCCCAGTAAGAGAAACCAGGGATCAGGCTACGTCTGAGAGCGGTGACTCGGGACAGGAGGGGCCTCCTGGCACTGACCCTCCCCAGGGCAAACAGCAAGGCCTGGCAGATGCGATCCACAGGAAGAGAGAAGACATCTTCCATCTTGGATTTATAACTGAAATGAGTAGCTGGGGTTAAAACAGAGAAAGTGTGGTTGAGCTCAGGTCATTTAGGAAAGTTTAAATCCAAGTTCTCTTGCCCTCAGTGTGGTTTAAGCCAAGGTGAGTAGCAAGGCTTCAGGAGCTCACTCAGGGAACACTCTCCCACTTGGTGTTTCTTTGCAGAGGAGTAGAGATACCAGCCCCGCTCATGGTACACTGAGGAGACACACAGGTGAGTGCTGCGAAACCACTGCACATCAAAGGTCCTCGTGGCAGCCCATGACTTCACACTGAACAGGCCGGCAGCCCCTCCAGCATCACTCAAAAATCAGAGCCAGTCTCCAGGAGAGCCCCTCTCAGCTCCCATTCTTTTCTCCTTGGCCATGCTTTCTGCCTGCCCTGCCTCACTCTGCTCATCTCCCAGTGTTGGGAAGACATGCCCCATAACCACTCTCTGTAAAATCTCACTTAAAACCAAACCACTATTTTTTCTTCCATCCCTTTATTTGCCTCTCCTTCAGCTATTCCGATGCTGTAACATAAATTATAACCATGCTCTATGAATCTTTACATACTTGCTGTAGGTTTGAGAGGATGATGCCATTGCAGCCGCCCAGTCTGGACATGTTCACTGCTGCCCTGCCAAGGTGTCAGCGCTCCAGAGAGGCACTGGGGATGCACTAATGCCAGGGATCACTGCAAACTGCTCCAGCTTTTGTGTATGTACCTGAACACTGACACAGAAGATGGAGGTGGGACCAGGTTCTGCTCCCCATACCTTGCTGGTCTAGAGGAACCATAGGGCAGGTGAGCAGGGACGTGCCGTGGGCAGGCGCAGGATCTGACCCTTTCTGCTCTCAGCTGTAATAATCATATGCCCGAAGCAGATTAATTCTCTTTCCCCATCCTTAACAAAGGAGGCCTTCCCCTGCCCTCCCCTGCCCATCCTTGCCTTCCCACCACACATGCACTTCACCTATTAGGATCTCCGCTGATTGCTTTCTTTCATTTCTCCCATACCTTTCACTTCAGAAAATGGACTGGTAATACTTCTTTTATCAAAGAATTATGGGATTTAGGACCCAGATCTTACAAAGAGACTTTTGATAGCTGCTGGTAATCAAATCCCAATCGTCAGACACTTCTCTGCACCCTGTTACCGGAGAGGAATAAAGGAAAGGGATTATCAACGTTATGTTTACTGAGCCTTCAGGAGATAGGATCGCTGGGCTATTTCATATTAGAAAAGAAAAGGAAAATAAAACAAGAAAGAAAAAAAAATGCAGACACGGGAGGACAATATAGATATAGATAAAAATAAAAGAAACAGGCTCTTATCATTTTCTTATTGGTTAAGGAGATTCCAAAGCCATTATAGAGGATTAGCAAAAAGGTTAATCTGCTTTAGCCGTTCAGTTGTCAAATGTGAATTTATAGGGTTTGAAAATCCTTCCTATGGTGAAATCAGAAAAAAATCCCCGTCTTCCTCCCCTGCCCCTCCCTTCTGCATGCAGCACAAGGGGATGGGAACAGCAGCTTTGGAGACCCTAAAACATGGGAGCACCTTCCCCTGCCTTGCCCCTGCCTGGGTGCTGGCACCTGTGAGCGCTCTGGTTTGGCAGCACTTCTCCCCACTCCCTCATCACCCGTGTGGGGTGGCCGTGGTGCTCAGGGAATGCAGGAGCAGGTCAGAGGGATGTGACTGTGCTCCTGCAGTGCTCTGCCTTACCTGGGGTAAATCCTGGGCTGTTTCTCTGGTTGATATTGGCAGCAGTCAGGGCAAACCTGAAACCCTGGATGGATTTGGGCTTCCAGGTTGATTTCTGAAGAGGAACAGAGATGGATGCTGCTGGCAAATGTTGCCAGAAACTACAGGCTGGGGCGTCTCTGTCCCCAAGCACAGTGCTCACCCAGAGAGCCACATCTCAGCATCCTCCCAGTCACCCAGAGCAGATACTGGCCTGTCGCAGCCGCGATCTCCCGGGCTGCCCGTGCTGCTGACTGACCCAAGCGGCTGATGCCCATCGCTCGCTCCAGTGCCACTGTGAGAAACAACCCAGGGAAAAAGCAATCATTCAGCAAACTAGCAAGGAGCATTTGTTGACAGCTGCTGGGTGAAGTTCAGTGGAATGCGTTAGTCAGGAGTTATAACTATGTTTAATAAAGACACAGAAATCATAGAATCATAGAATGGTTTGGGTTGGAAGGGACCTTTAAAGGTCATCTTAAAATGGTGCCTGTTAAAATAGTCCAACCCTGTGCCAAATGACAAAAAGAAGCCGAATAAAATAATTTGGATTTGATGATAATTAACATCAAGTGTTACAATAAATCTGTTTCTCTCTCCAAAGGCCACTTCATCCAGCAAGAAGAAGCAGAGTCCCCCTGCCAGCTTAGTGCTAAACAGGGATGGTGCCCACGGTGTGTTCGGACAACTGAGGAGGCCCAAACCTCCTCTGATGCAACGAGGCACGACAAAGTGAGACTACTATTTCACTCCGAAGCGTGTCACTTGGTATTTCAGCCCTCTTAACCGCCTCACACCGCCCGGCTTCCGCTGTGCCGGGCAGCGAGCACCAGCCCCCCCCGTTTTCAGCCTTTCGGGGGGCTCTCGCTCGCCACCGACTGCGGAAACACTTTCAGAGGGTGCTGCCTTTTCACCCCCGGCTGTGCAGCCCGCAGCCTGCCGCAGAGGGGCGCTGCCGGGAGGTCGCGGCCCCCGCGCCCGGCGGGCCGGGGGCGCAGCGCTAGGGGGCGCCGCTGAGCCGGCGGAGCGCGGCCGGGCTCTATGGTGCCGGCGGTACCGGCCATGGGAGCCGAGCGGGAGGCGCGGGCCTGCGCTGCTTTCTACGGGGCGCTGGGCATCGCCCAGCCGGTGCTCTCCTGCCTGCGCTGCCTGCGGCAATTCGCGGGGTAAGAGGACGGAGCCTGGGCGAGCGGACCCCGGCATCCCCCCCCCCCCCCCCCGGGTGCGGGTATCCCGGGGAGCCCCCGAGCATCCCCCGGCGCGGATCGCGGCATGCCCCGGGCGCGGGTACCCGGCGCGGGTCCCCCGAGCGTCCCCCGGGTGCGGGGCCGGAGGGGGGCGGGGGGGGGAGGCTCCGTCCCAGTCGTGGGGACCCAGGCACCCCCACTTGCTCTCATCCCCTTCCAGCCCTCTCTGCAAGCAGCAGGGCAGCAAGTTTTAGGATCTTTGGGGCTCTCCTACCCACCCCCAACCACACCACACACACCCCCCAACTAACCCGCCCCCCTGCCCCCAGGGCTTGCCTCTGCTGGAACAGGCTGTGTTTTGGACTCTGAGCTTTGAGGAATTTCCCGCCCCTCCTCCCCCCCCCAGTGCCGAATGCAGTTGGGGGTGAGGAGCATCACAAACTGGGCACCACAACCCTAACCCCTATCAAGCTGGGGCACCACTACCCCGATCCAAATCAACCTAGGGTACCCCAACCCTAATCTCCACCAAGACGAGGCACCCCCACTCCAATCCACATTGAACCAGGGCAGCCCAAACCTAATTTCCACTGAGCTGGAGTATCCCCTACCCCAATCCCCCAGAGAGCTGGGATATCCTCACTGCCACCACCATCCCATTTCAGAAGTACTGCCAAGAGATGCAAAGACAAGCACCTGGAGGAGGCTCTCCTGCTGTCGCGGGCGCTGAGCGAGGGTCTGCGGGTGCTGGGCGAGGCAGAGGCACAGCCCCTGCTTCGCTGTGTCCTGGCTTTCCAGCTGGAGGCAACCGGCAGCTCCAGCTCCTTTCAGAAACTGGAACAGGTCTGTAATGCAGCCGTCTGCGCCGCGGCTTCAGAACTCTATTAGCCATGAGTGTAAGCGATGGTCTCGCCCGGCTCTGCCTGCGCCGGGGCAGCTCTGGTGCAGCACATCTTTACCAGCAAAGGGGCCACATGATGCCGCAGAGCTCCCCTAAAAGCATGTTGCAGCTGGTATCTCTCGGGGGGTCCGGGCAGAGCGGCTGACTCGGGGCATCTCTCGGCAGATCGTGACCCAGCTGGCGGTGGGGAAGGAAGCGCTGCTGGCCCGGGAGGTGGGCGCGCTGCTGGCCGGCCTGGCGCTGCAGGGAGAGGTGAGAGCACCCCGGTACGGTGTACGGCGGCATCGGCTTTCGCAGGGGCTTGGCTGGAGCCCGTGTGGGACAGGGGCCTCCTGGTTTGGGTTGCCCAGGGTCCTTTGCTTCTCTTCCCACTGTGCCAGGGGCTCGCCTTTGCTTGCAGCCGGTGACAGTGGCTGCACATCACACCAGCTCTGGGACAGTTTCTGACAGAGGCAGGACCCTCCTGCCCAAGGGACCAAGCCCCAGCGTGTCATCACGCGGGACAAACTGTCCTTCTGTCCCCGCAGGTGCTGTCTCCTGGGGACCTTCAGTCAGGTCAGTCTCTGCTCCTTCCTCTCTGGGGGCTTCTCCCAGCCCACACCACCAACGCACAGGACACCTCCTGCCATCCAGACTGGGTCCCCTGCGCTTATGGGAGGGGAAGCAGGGATCAGCTGGATCTGTGGGATCTCTGTGGAGGCCCCAGCAATACCCAAGGGCTCTGCCCACCCACCTGGGACAGCTAAAACGAGACAAGCCAAAGCACCCCCTGCATCCCAGCCCCATTCTCACAGCTCTTGGCTTAACTGGGAGCTGGGCTGGCTGCGGGCACAGTGCCGGGAGGGCCAGGGGCTGACGCTGACCCCTTGCCCGCAGTTTGCATGTTCATGGAGGAGAGCAGCCTGGGCCGGCAGCACTGGCAGCAGAACCTGGCCCCGCTGCTGCAGCGCCTGGCCACCACCTTGTCCTGGGTGCTGCAGAGCCAGCCCGCACCCGGCGGCACGTGGGGCTACCTGGCTGTCAAGGTAAGAGCCAAATTTCGGAGGAAGGGGGAAGGATCAGTCCCTGCAAGGGCTGGCTGGGTGCTGGCACCAGATGTCCAGGAGGGATGTGGCACACAGCATGGCTTCGAATGGCCATCCCCAGGGAATCGCTGCTTTCTGGGAGGTGAGGGATGCTGACAGTCATTCCCATGGCCCCCATCCCTCCTCTTCCTCCAGGCCTGCCTCCAGCTCTTCCAGGCGCTGCCGAAGGATGTGGCCCCCTTGGTGTGGAGCACAGCGGGGAGGAGTGAAGCCTTGCAGAGCCTCTTAGGGCTGCTGCTGGAGGTGGCTTGGGGGAGGGTACGTATGGCCCCAAGGAGAGACAGGGCTGCCTGTCCCAAAGAGCAGATCAATGCCATCCTTCCTGAGTGTTTTCCCCATTCCTCTCCCGGAGGGGAGCCTGCAGAGGCAGCTTCAGTGTCTGGGGTGTCCAAAGGACCCTGCAGAGTTGCTTGCATGGGCATGGAGGGAGTGTTAAATGGGGTCTGGTTTTCAAATGGCGTTTTGAGCTGTGACTTTGCCTCCCCTGTGAGTCCAGGCCCCGAACAAGGACACGAGGCTGCTGGCGGGCACGGCCCTGAGCATGCTGGTGAACACGGCCCCACAGCCTGAGCGCGGGGCCAGCGCCATGCTGGCTCTCTTCCAGCTCCCCAACCGAGGTGCGTGCTCCATCCCGAGCTGGGGACAGCCTCTGGCAAAGGGGACAGCGGGGGCAGGCGTGTTTTGGTGTGAGGGGACAGAGGCTGGTGCTGCTCAGCAGCAGCCCAAGCCGGACTCTGCTGCTGTTGTCCTGCTCTCAGGGTCCGGGAGGCCCAGCTGCCACCCACGGGCCAGGGCAGCTCGCTCTTAGAGCAGCGTTTGGGTTTGCCATCTTCCTGCTGTCCACTGCAGCCATTTTCCACCAGGTGTGGGGGAGCTGAAGTTTGGGGAGCTGGTGGTGGAGGACCCCCCCGTCCTAGAGCCAGATGGGCTGGAGAAGCTGGTACTCACCAGAGGCTTGCTGACATGCTGCAGGACAGACATCCTCAGCTGCCACCTGGAGAGCTTCACCCACAAGGTAGGAGAGCTCAAACCTAATGGTCAGGGCTTGAGAGAGTCCTTGGAGAGGGCTGGTAGCCACTGGCGGGGGCTGTGGGTCCTTGGGGGACATAGCCAGGCTGCACTGCTCTGCACCAGCAGCTCCACACATCCCACTGAGCATGGTGTGTTAGCCAGGAGCCTGCTTTCTCCAAGGACATCTAAGCAGGGATTTCCCTCTCCTGGGAAGCTGAGAAGCTAGGAGGTGCCAAAAGTAGCCCCAGCACAAGCAAAACTGCAGCAGCTTTTGCCCTGTGCTCCTGCAGCACGAACTCAGGGCTGCCCTAGGCCAAGCGTAGCCTCCAGCTCTGCCCATCTCCAGCATCTCCTGAATCATCAAGAGCTGAGGATTTCCAGACAGGGAGCAAAAGCTAGCAATAAGCTGCTGTAGGAGCAGAAAAACTAGGCAGTGCTCTCCTCGCCTGTCTCATGGTGGGGTTTTCTCACCCTGGAAAGCCTGCTCCTGCCCGCTGCCTGAGCCACTGTGCTCCCGCAGGCCTGCCTGCTGCTGGACGTGGTCTTTCCCACTGTGCGTGCCCTGACCAAGGAGCAGAAGGACTGCCACTACTACTGCTTCCAAGGTAGGAGATGATGACCCCACCATGGTGGGGAGGTTTGAAAGGTTCACTGTGCTCATGCTGCACAGAACCCCTGTGGCACTTTTATCTTCTCCCAGGGAAGATGCTTTTCTGGATCTTGGTAGCTGTTGTGAAAACTGCTTATTAATTTCTGCTCAAGCCCAATGGACACTAACCCTTTTGAGCCCTTGTACACCTCACAGGGGAAATTGCTCCCCTTGCACGCAGGGTCCTTAAGGCCAGCAGCCCGCACTGGCTCTGCTGCAGGTGAGTCTCGGGGTTGCAGCGGTGCTCTCTGCTTTGCAGCTTGTGCCCTGTGGCTGCAGCGCCTGCGGGAGAGCCTGCCTGCTGTCTGGCTGCCTGACCGGGACCCGCATCCTGGCCCGGGACACCGAGCTGCTCCGGCAGCTCACCCAGCTGGTGTGGGATAACGCCGAGACCCCGGTAAGGCTGAAGGGTGCTGAAGGCCGGTGCCACAACAGCCAGAAACAGCCCTTCCTCTACCCGGCTCAGCTGCTGTTCCCCTGCCCATAACACACCGCTGCCTTTTTCAGTTCCATCAACCAAATGCAACCCCCTGGACTGCCCCTGCCTGCAGCTGCCCTCTGGCAGGGCAGGGGCACCCACGCTGCTGAGGCTGGGACACTCGTCACACGTGGCCTCTGCGGGGCCGTGTCCCAGTGCTTTGCCCTCCCCAGGCAGCACCTACTGGTGCAGTCCCAGCCTGTCTGTATTTACTGGCTCATCGCCCATCATCCCCTACGTCCCCAGCTCCCAACCCTGTGGTTACCAGCCAGTACTGAAAGTCCATGGCTACAGGAAAGCAAAGGGTCTTCTCTGACGCAGCAAGACAGGAGAGGGAGCCCACCCTAACTGCTCCTGCTTGCCACCGTCCTTCTCCCCCCCAGGTGGAAGGGGTGTCCGAGTTCATCCACAGCTCCTTCCGACTGCTCCTGGAGATCTACCACCTTGAGTGCCAGCACTTCCAGGACCAGGAGAGACCCCTCTACCAACAGATGCTGCAGAGGGTGGTCTCGATGCCGTGGCAAATCAAAGCCAGATACGTGCCCCTGTGTGCCATCGTCCCCTACGTGGGCAGCCAGCAGGTAGGGAAGGTGGAGGGATGGGGGGCTTGGTCCCAGCTGGCACTGCTGCTGGGGTGGCACTGCTGCTGGGGTGGCACAGCCTCTGTCCACAGCCCAGCTCAGCCATGTGGGCAGGTGGCCATCCCAGCCTGGGGACTGTTTTGGTATCCCTGGTTGGGGTAGTGAGCCGCAGCAGTGATGCATCTCTGGGGACTGCCAGCAGGGTGGGAAGCTGTGCCTGTTGATGTCCACCAAAATCTGGCCAAAAGCAGCTTGGGGTACCAGAGATGCTCTGTGCCATGGGTGACCGCAGTGTGGTCTGTACCCAAATCTGTCCCCCCCCGCCATATGCAGCCTTCAGCCTGGCGGGGAGATGAGGGTCATCTGCCTTTCTCCCAGGTGCTGGACGCCTACCCGGACCTGCCACAGCACCTCCTGAGCTGCCTCTCCACCAACCACCTGTGTCCCGCAGCCACCGAGGTCTACAAGGCCCTGGTGCGGCAGCAGTGTGCTGAGCAGCGGGGTGCGGAGGGGGCTCTGGCAGAGCGGTGGGCGCTGCGCTGGCTGCCCCTGCTCTCCCAGGCCCTCCGCTCCCCCCTGCCCATCCTGCAGAGCAACGCCACCAACCACCTCCTCGCCTGGACCCTGCGGCAGCTCCCAGCCACCCAGGCCCTGCTGGCCACCCAGTTTGGCGGCCAGGACACAGCGTCGCTCCGGGCTTGGGTGTCTCTGCTGAAGGCGCAGAAGAGCGTGGCGGGGGCCCTGCCGCTGCGGGGCGAGGCGCTGGAGAGGCTCTCCTGCTGCCTGGGTGCCCACGAGGAGGGCGTTCGGCTGGCGGCGCTGAGTCTGCTCTGCTGCAGCCCCAGCACCAACCGGCCCCTCTCGGGCACCGAGTTGCGGCTGCTGCGCGAGTTCCTGCCCCTCAACCTCAACTGTGACTCCTCCTCGTTCCGGCAGCTGCTGCAGGCAGCGGTGAGGAGGGCGCTGGTCCGGCTGCGGGACAGCTCGCTGGCCCAGCTGCGGGGGAAGGCGCCCCGAGGCACCGAGCCGGGCGAGGGAGCAGGGCAGCTCGCCCAGGCAGTAGGTGAGGCAGCCACCCTGGCTCCTCCATCACAGCCCTGGGGGATTTGCACATGGGTGCCCAGCCCAGCATCGCTCGCTGCCACGTTCTCTGCCTGCAGGCTTTGTGGAGTGGCTGCTGCAGCTCAGCATCACCTCGCTCAGCCCGGGCTCCAACTACCAGAGGAAGAAGACGGCTCTGCTCCTCCTGGCCGCAGTTTTGGAGACCTGCACGGACACCTGGAGCCCTGACAGGAAGAAAGGCCAGCCTCCACGTGAGTATGAGCAGCCCGCCTGGAGCATCACCCCTCAGCTGCAGGGGTGCTCCCCACCGATCCCGTCCCACCACCCCATGTCCCTGCCGCAGGGACCATGGCCACACTACTAAGCTACGCCAGGCAAAGCAGCTGCTGGGACTTCTTCTCCCAGCCCAACTTGTTGGCACTGCTGAGCTGCTTGCAGGATAGCACTAACGAGGTGAGCCTTGTAAAGATGAGGCGAGGTCATAAGGATGCCTGCCTTGACTCCGAGCAGGCTCGGGCGGGAAGCCCACCGTGCTTTCTCTACTCTCATGTCCCGATTCCCCCCACTTCTCCTGTCTTGGCAGATCAGAGACTTGGCGTCAGAGCTGCTGGTCCGCTACTTTCCTGCCACGTTCCCTGAGCCCATCACCCTGGCTCTCTTCCAGCTGGCCCAGGACGCCCTGGGCAGCCCCCGAGTGCAGGAGGCTGAAGCCGGAGCTGTGCTGATGAAGACTATCCTGCAGAAGTACAAGCTCCTGACTTCCCCCTCCCCGTGGTGGCACAGCAGCCCCTGAGAGTGTGTTGGCAGCACCAGTGTCTCGCCAGTGTCTGCATTTGTAGCTTAGGGCAGCAACAGCTTGGGTTTGAAATAGCCTTGCAGTGGGGAGCTGGGAAGGGTTGGGGTGCAGGAGCCTGAATCGGGGGAGGAAGGAACCACATAGCCCAAGACAGGCAGAAAACTCCCTCATCCTTGCAGCAACATCTGCCTCTTCCCCCAGGTCAGACAGCAACACCATGAAGAGCCTGGCCCTGGAGGCTGAAGCAGCCCCAACGCTGCCCAACCGAGGCCTGTGCTTCGCTCAGCACCTTCTCCATGTGCTGCAAGCCCAGTACGCTGCAGCGTGCCAGGACCTGCTGCAGGCAGCAGCCACCGCACCGATGCACGGTACGGCCCCAGCCTGGCAGGGCAGCAAAGTGGCTCCTGCAGCAGGTCTTCTCCCTGGGAATTTGGAGCAGGCAGGAATCATGCAGGAAGGACAGAGGCCGCAGCTGGGTGCTGATGCCATGTCCTTGCCGCAGTTCCCCTGTATTACTGCTCCACCCACCCAGCGTGCCCTTCACCCCGGGGCCCTGCGCTCCCCTGCCCGTGAGCCATTTCAGCTGCAGGCTCAGGCAGGAGGGCTGGGGCTGCTCTGGCCAGCGCTGTGACCAGGGGTGGGTGTTTGTGCAGGAGCCATCTCAGCCCTGCGGCGGTGCCTGCTCCACGTGCCGGAGGTGGCCGCCTCCATGCGGGCAGCAGAGTTGGCACAGAGCTGGCAGGAGCTCCTCACCCGCCTCGTCACCACGGTGAGAGACATCACCTCCTTCCTTCTGGGTGCTCTGCAGAGTCAGCAAGGCCCTGGCGCTGATGAGCGAGGTGAGTGTGTCCCCAGGGGATGACCAGCCCTGGGAACCACTGATACCTCCATCACAGCCACCCTTAACCCAGCCGCCCTCCAGCCTGCGGGCAAGGCGCTTGCTTTGGGCTCACTGCCTCTAGCAGGGGACAGTTGTGGGGCCGGGCAGGGAAGGTTGGCCTGGGAGTAAGATCCAAAGGGGGACACACCCGGGCAAGGATGCTCCGGGTGTTGGGAGGAGGATCCTGGAAACCACAGGAGCAGAGCAGCTAGGACCTGGTTTTCGGGTCCCTTTCTTGGCTGCACATGAGAACAGTAACAGAAGTCAAGGCAAAACCCTTGCAGAAGCAGTGAGGCACTTGCCCAAATGGGAGAGAAGGGGCTGGCAGAACCCTTACAGCAGTGGTGTGGAAGAAGCAGCAGGGGCGAAGTGCAGCAGCAGTCCTGCGCAGGACACACTGCAGGGCCGGAGCTGCTGCCATTTGTGTGCACTCTGAACAGGAGATAGCGGGTCCCTGCGAGCCCCTGGCAGCACCTGCCTCCCTCTGCCTGCCCCGACCAGACTGACTTCTCCCTTTTGCAGCTGCTGCCCCATCATTTGCAGACATGGGGAATGCCATCGGCTCCCTCATCATGCTGGGGAAAGGCCGGGGGCAGGAGGAAGAGGACTCAGTCCTGCTGTCAGAGGAACACAGCCTGATCCTGACCTGCTGCTGGGTATCAGTGAAGGTAGGCTCCCCCCCGTGGCACTGGGAAGAGGGGCAGCCTGGCACGGCACCCACCACCCAGCCCACCCCAGCAGCTGGGTTCTTCAGCTTCCCTTGGGGCATCCACCCTCCCTGGGGACAAACAAGGGGGAACCTCTGCCCTTACCTCAGAGCTGCTGCGCCCACCTTCATCCCCTGCCACGGAGGACACAACCACCACCCTCCCCAAAAGCAACCCCCTCCCTGCCTTGCTCTTATGTAGCCCAGCTGGTTCCCAGGTGCTGGCAGACCCCAGCTGCGGCAGAGCCGGGCTCCCCAGCCTGCAGCCCTGCAGCTGCCCATCCCAGCCCCTTTCCGACAGCCGCCCGTCCCGGCTTCTCCTCCGCAGCCTCTCCAGCGGCTGCCTGGAAAAAGGCCATCTCTGCCACAGCTGCCTTGCAGCTGGCTGGGAAACTGCCGTGCCGCGGAGCCTGGGCATGCCGGCGGCCACGCTGCCTGATGGTGCCGGCCACCGAGAGGAAGGGGGCAGCCCCACTGCTGGTCCTGGTGACCTTCTGCTTCTTCCCAGGAGATAGGGCTGCTCTTGGGGGGCCTGGCTGAGCTGCTGCTGGTCCCGGCGCTGCCTGCGGGGTCGGGGCCCCTCCTGCCGCTCCCCACCCTGCAGACAGCCACGAGGGTGTTCCAGGAAATCCTGCTGCGGTGCCGGCACTGGGTAAGAGCGTGTCCCTCCTGGGGTGGCTCGGCCCCTTGCCCACCCCTCCAGCCCTGTCCCTGCCCCGGGCCAGTAGCCAGGGACTCTCACTGGCCTGCAGGGAGGGCTGAGTGCAGTGGGGCAGTGTCTGCTCTGGGGCAGGACATGGAGCACGGCTAGAAGCCCCCAGCTGGGATCCCAGTGCCAAACCCCATCATGTCTCCACACCATCATGTCTGCTCGCTTCCTCCTTCCCCTTTGCAAAGAGGTTTCTGGGTGCTGTGGGGGGCTGGCAGATGCAGCCTTTGGGGCGCAGGGGCCTGACGCTGCTCTGCCCTAGGGAGCAGTGGAGGGCTGCAGCATGGGCTTCACCAAGTTTTGTGCCGCCCTGCTGAACCACCCAGACGCAGAGCTGCAGGCCATCCCGCAGACCATGCTGGAGCAGGTACTGTGCTTGTTCTGCCCCACCTTCCCCCCGTGCCCCGGAGACCCCCAGAGCTGTGTCCCTGTGTACTCCCACCCTTGGGCGAGCACCTACCCGGCAACCAAAATGCCACAGCGCAGGGTTGGTGTGGCTGGTGCCCTCCCCCGTAGAGCAGCCACGGGCTCCAGCCGGCAGGTTACCACCCATATCTTGGGTGGGTTTTGTTTCTCAGGGCTTAGAAGCGCTGAGCGGACCCCGGAGCAGCTCGATCACACGCCGTGCTGCCGGCTTCCCCATGCTCTTCCTCTGCATCGTCAGCGGGGAGGCCCCGGTGCAGGCACGGCCGCTGCTGACCCGCTGCGTCCAGACGCTGCTGGCCTTGGCCACCACAGCCCTGCCGCAGGACTGGGACCAGACCCTCGACCTCCCACAGGTGAGCACGGCGGGCACTGAGCTCCTGGCTTCTGCAGCCTGTTTGGGGACAGGGTGATCTGCGCAGAGCTCCCTTAAAGAGAGCTGCGCTGGGTACCTCAGCCTGCACGAGTGCAGAGACCTCAGGACGAACAAAAAGCCGCAGCCCTGGCCGTGCTGCCCATCCTGGCAGCCCAGGAGCTGACGGCCCCAAAGCTCTCCCATCTCTTCCCACCATCTTCCCTCTGCATGGAAGTGTGAGCCCCCTCCCCATGCTGAGCCCCGCGCGCTCTCCCCAGGTGTGTGCCCTCCATGTGCTGCAGACACTGGTCCGTGGCACGGGGCTGGGCAGTGCGCTGCTGCGGCACGCCACGCCGATGGTGGCCCTGGCGCTGCGGGGCTTGGGCTCACCGTGCTGGGCCATGAGGAACGCAGCCATCCAGCTCTTCAGTGAGTACCGAGGGGGGAGAGGGCCCTGCAGAACCAATGCAGCCCCTCGGGGATGGGGCAAAGTGGAGGGGTGGGTCAGGCAGGAGGTGGACGGGACCTGACGCTACTTTCTGCTCTGTGCCTGCAGGTGCCCTCACGTCCCGGCTGCTGGGCCAGCAGCAGAGCCAGTGGGGAGGGCTGCCTGGCGGAGGGGGTGAGCCTGCAGGCCTTCCTCGGGCAGCATCCCCAGCTGGGTGCCGTGCTGCTGGGCGAGCTGGAGGCAGCCACAGACCCTGCGCCGGGGGGGCCCCGCCTGCGCCCCGCGCTCCATGCTGTCCTCACCCTCCTGGCCCAGCTGCAGCCTGGCGCCGACAGCCCTGGGAGGTGAGGGGGCGGCAGGGATGCTCTGCCCCGGCCAAGGGCTCCTATGGCAGGAGGTGGTCCTGCAGTGCCAGAGCTGGCCCTGGTTCTCAGGGGAGGGGGGGGTTCGCTCCAGCCAGAGCATCACCACTCAGTGCCCTTTCTGCTCCGCAGCCCCTCTGCCCGTTTCCTGGGGCCGCTGCTGGAGCTGGCGGGGAGCCCCATTTACGCCGTGCGAGCGATGGCTGCCAAGGCACTGGTGCCGGTCGTCCCACCGCCCCAGCGCCGGGGGCTCCTCCTGCAACTGGCCCGGCAGCTCCCCACCGCGCCTGGACAGGTCCGCTCACACAACGCCAGTCCACGGGTGCCTGCTGCAGATTCGGGCACTGCTGGTCTCCCCACCAAGCACCAAGGGGTGAGTGGGTCCCACGCCATCCCGCTGCCCACAGCCCCTGTGGTCACTCTGGGCTGAGATGCAGGTTTTTGGCTGAAGAGCAGCGCCCGTCCCTGTGCTGCGGGCCCCGCGGTGAGGCTGGGCTGTCTCCCCGCAGGCTGTCGGCCGAGGTGCTGTGCCCCGTGGCTCTGCAGCTGGAGGCGCGGGGCTGGCTGCTCAGCCCTGCCCAGCGCTGCCCGCTCGTCCGTGCTGCCTTCCTCCAGACCCTGGCCCTCCTGCCCACCTCCTTCAGCCCTGGCTTCGCCCAGAGCATCCGCGCCGCCATCAGCACTGAGCTGGGCAGCCTCCCAGCCGGGGGGAAAGCTGGGCTGTGTTGAGCTGCAGGTACCACTGCCTGCCAGGGAAATCACGGCCGTGGCCTTCCTGGCAGCGAGCCCAGGGGTGGGAGGTGGGGACGCCCCACTCAGGGGGCACACACCCCACTCGAGGCCAAGCGCTGGAAGGAGGATCCTGGTTTTCTGCAGGTGGGCTCAGCCGTCCTCCACCAAACCATGGCCCACTTCATGTGCAGCGAGGCAGCCCGGCTGGCAGACAGTGAGCGGATCAGCACCGTCTGCTTGCTTCTACAGCAGCCAAATCCTGACGTCCAGGTTGCCATCCTGAGCTGGGTGATTGCTGGGGAGGGAGGAACGTGCGAGGAGCTGGAGAAGGCTCTCAGGCTGATACTGCTGGTACGATGAGGCTCAGAAGTCACCCAGTAAAGCAGAGGGTCCCCAATGCACTGCGCTGACGGGATCCTGGATGCTCACTGAGAAGCACGGTGCTCCCCAGGCTGAGGGTGCAGGCTGCTGGTTGCACTGAGGTTGCCACCCCACACTGCTGGGGACACTAACCGTGTACCTTCTTTCCCATTGTCGACTAGGAGAGCTTGGGGTCGGTGCTGCAAGAGAGGAGGGACAAAGAGTTCCTGAGATTGTACCTTGAGGCTTTGCTGCATCTTTACAGAGATCCCTCGTCGTGGTCCCAGGAAGCTTCCCATAAGCTCCAGGGCTCCTCGGCAGCATGCCTGGAGATGCTGCTGCACATAGTGGAGGCTGAGCATCCTGGCCCCGACCTCCTCTTCCAGGCGCTGTGTGCCGCCAGCCTGCTGCTCACCCACCGGTAGGTCCCTGCCGCTGCCGGGGAGCTCTGCCTGACCCTTCCAGATTTCTCCCTAGTCCTTGCTGGAAACAGAGCCACAGCTTCTCACCTAGAAATCACAGCTTTGCATCTCAGTTCTGCAGTCTCAGGGCAGCCAGTGGCCTTTGGATGCCCGGATGGAGCTGGAAGGTGTGGCTGAATTCCCTCTCCTTCCCCGGCCTCTGACAGGGTTGGGGCCGAGGATGGGCCCCTGGTCGAGCGGTGGTGCACGGCGCTGGAGGGGTGCAGCCGGTCTGCTTCATCCGACGTGCTGCGGCTGGCGGCCGCCCGCTCCCTGCAGACGGCAGGTGCCGACGTGGTGCGGCGATCCCTGCGCGCTGCCTGTCCCTCGCTTGTCCCCGTGGCTCTGCGGTAAGTCCTCGCGGCAGCAGCACTGCCCACAGCCCCGAGGTGTTGCAGGTTAATAGGCTGCGCCTGCAAAAGGCAATGTTCTCTGCAAAAAATTAAAGGGCATTAAAGAAAACACTCACTCAAAAATCACTAGCACCTGAGAGCTTGCAGCCTACAAAAAAACTGTGGTGGCATTTTAATAGAAGCAGCCAGTCCCTTATGAGCAATAAACTGCATTGATGAGTCCCTCCCCTCCCAAGCAGTGAGCTCGTGGGTACTGGCTATGCCTTTCATGACCCAGGAGAAAAGTCCTTCAGGGAAGCATTGCCCAGAGGACTCTCATCCTTCCCCCCTCCAGGCAGGCTGGGAATGTTCTGGGGCCTGCGATGGCCTTCCCTTCCCTTCTTTCTCTTCCCTTTCCCCAGGCTGATAAACGTGGGCATCCAGCTTCTGCAAGACGAGGAGCGGGAGGTCCGGCACGAGACCTCGGGTTTCGCCAGCCTCTTGCGGCCGGACCCTGGGGAGCCACTCTCAGGTGGCTGCATCTTTGTGCAGGACAACATGGGGCTCCAGGGCCTCCTGCAGCTCCTCCTGGCAGAGTTTGGGGAGCACCCCGAAACCTTTGACTCTCTGCTGCGGCACCTCCCCGTCCTAGATCTCAGGGGCATCGTGGAGAAGCTGAAGGCCAACAAGTGAGTTGACAGACCTGCGTTTGGGTACGAGGGAGCGCGGGGTGCCATGGGGCCGGCTCTCGGCTTCACTTGCACCTTGGCTGCTCCCCCAGGGCCACCAGCCTGTACAAGGAGGATGAACCCAACGTTTTTGCGGAGCCGGCCGTCCTGGCGTGGCAGCTGCTCCCCGTCCTGCTGCAGCTCCTGGAGAAGGCTCCTGCCGGCAGCCCACTGCATGCCACGGCTCTGTGCTGGCTGGCAGCCACAGGCCCCGGTGTCCTGCACGACCTGCGGTACTGCAAGCACCACTGGAGCCAAGGTACGGCGCAGCGTGAAACCCGCCGGGACAGGCAAGCTGGTGTCCTCGCCCCCCACCCCAGCTCTGCCTGCGGGGACCCCGGCACGCTCACGGCTCCTTCGCCCTCTCTCTCCACAGGGGCCGCTGCCCGCGGGGGGATGAAGGCGCTGGGCTGTGCCAAGCTGCACGTGGCCGTGGCCGTGCTGCTGGTGAGGGCCCGGCTGGTGGCACAGGCACTGCAAGTGCTGGGGGAAAGTGCCACCACCGTGCCCGGGCTGGGCTGCGACTGCCCAGGAGCTGGAGCAGGAGCTCGTGCTGGTGCAGGGGCTGCTGGCGCAGCACGGGCTGGCCCCTGTGCCGAGCCAGGGCAATGCGCCGGGGAGGCCAGGACCACCGTCCGGGGCTGCCTGACAGCTCCGGGCATGGAGCAGCATCACACCAAGCCGTGCAGCCACGAGGCTTCTGGCTCATGCTGCCACGTCCCTCTGTTTGCCAGATGCTCTCTCTGGCCACCAGCCAGGACTGTCGGTTCGGTGGTGTAACTCAGGGGAAGCCCACTCACCGTGTGGGACGCACTCTCATCCTTCCCAGTGTTTTCTAACTCCTCATCCTGAGGACACCGGTGCAGCATCACCTTGGCCTGTGCCTGCGTTCCTGCCCGCGCATCCCTGCCCTCGGGTCTGGTTGGGAGAAGGGGACACATGCCCCGGAGCCTTCACACCCCTTACACTGCTCCACTCCCACTACTTTTGGGTTTGGTTTTTTGTTTCTCTTTTCTTTTTTTTTTTTTGTTTGTTTGTTTGTTTGTGGGTTTTTTTGTTTTGTTTTGGGTTTGTTTTGTTTTGTTTTGTTTTGGTTTTTTTTTGTTTTGTTTTTTTTTTTTTAAGCAACGTTTTAGCCCATGGCCAACCTGGGGCTTTTAGCCCAAATAAAGAGGCCAGGAACATCCCCAGCGTTGAAGCCTTTTCCTTTCCCTGCTCAGGAGGGGCGGTGGGCGTAGGGGCAGCCTGCGGCTGGGGGAGGCGGGCGGGATCAGGAGGCAGCAGCCGGAGAGCCCCAAGCCCTCCCACCCTCCCCCAAAACCCGGCCCTGCGGGGTACCCCCAGGCTCCCGGCTGCAGGCAGGTGAAGACCCAGCGCCCCGCGTCCCGCCCCCCCGGAGCCGCCCCGCCCCGGGCCCGGCCCCGCCCCGGCGCGGAACAGGACGCGGCCACATCCGCTTCCCGCGGCCATCCGCCCGGTCCCGTGCCCGGCGGGAGGGGAGCGGCGGCAGCGGGGGGACCCCGCCGGGCGCCCCGGGCTTTGGGGAGCACCGTGGGGACGCGCACACCCGCACACCCACACGCCCACCCCCGGGCCAGCCGGTGTCGCCGAGCCCCGGGCAGTGCGGCAGCCCCGGCTCGGCGCGCCCCGGGGCGGGGGGAGCGGAGCGGTGCTCGGCGGGGGGTGCACCCCGACCCATCCTCGTCCTCACCCCCTCCTCGCCCGCCGCACAAGCAGCATGAGCGCTGGCAAGTCGAAGCGCATCAAGTTCTCTGAGGAGGAGAAATTCCTCATCCTGGAGGAGTTCAGCCTCCGCAAGGACATCTTGATCCCCAAGAGTGGCCGGTACAAGAACACGCTGGACCGGCAGCGCGCCTGGGAGGAGATCGCAGCCGCCGTCAACAACCTCAGCCCCCTGGTCCAGCGCACGCCCGACGAGATCCGCAAGAAGTGGCACAACATGGTCCTAGACGCCCGCAGGGAGCTGGCTGTGGAGAAGCATCCGCTGCTCCGCCAGCGGCCCCAGGAGAGGCTCTTCCACAACATCTTTGCTCTCTTCAACAAGCCCAGCCCAGGGCTGCCGGACCCGCTGCTCTCAGCCTCAACCTTAAGAGCGAGGACAGACAGCAGCCCCCCCGGGATGCTGGAGGCCGCCCCGGACTTGCTCCTGCACGGCCAGAGCAGCGCTGCCGCCTCGGGCCACGGGCCAGCTCTGCCTGGTGGGGAGCCCACCAGCCCCCAGCCCCGCATCAGAAAGCCTCCTTGGTGCAACCGATGGGGAGCCCGACTCCAAGGAGAACTTGCATCCTGGCGGGACCCCCGGCCAGCGTGGAAGAGAGACTGACGCCTCCCAGCACAGACCCTGTGGCCCCCAGCCTGCCCGTGGCTGGGGTGCTCCTGGCAGCAGCTCCCTGTCCCACCTCAGTGCAGGGCCAGGGTGCAGCGGGGATGGCCCCGGTGCCGCCAGCCAGCTCCCCCGAGCCCCCCGTGTCCATCCGCATCAAGTCCCCGCCGAGCCCGGTGCTGGCATCACCGTGCCTCAGCTGCGATGGCGAGCCCGGCGATGCAGAGCAGGGGGACAGGCAGCTCCAGCCCCTCGGCCCCGGAGGAGAACGGTGAGGCGCCTGCGTTACTGCCGGGCTCTGCCCGCCTCCCTAACACCCACCGAGCCAGGCGTGCTGGACCCTCGCTGCTACTCCCAGCCCCATCCCCAGGCCGGGTGGGTTGCAGAACTGCAGCAGCCCTCCCTGGGCAGTGGCTCCTCCTTTGCTGTGGACAAGCTGCCCAAACCCCCCATTTTTCCAAGAGAAGGGCCTGCTCGCTCTCCCTGCCGGTCCCAGCTCCCACGCTGGGGCAGGCCGTGCCCGGTGCTGCTCCCACCAGCAGATGCAGCATGCTGAGGTGGCTTGGGGGAAAGGCCAAATCCTACAGATTAAGCTTTTGGGAGGCTGTGGTACAGGCTGGCAGGGAGCAGTCCTGGGGTCTGCTTTCAGCATCAGCCAGCCCAGTGGCCCTGGCTCCCCATGGAGAGCAGCTGGGCTGGGGGGGCTGCGCAGCAACAGCAGGGGCATCGGGGGGAGAGAAAGGGCAGGGGCATGGAGGGGAGAGAAGGGCAGGGCAGGCAGTTCCCCACAGCTCCACGTCCCCTCTCCAGCTTTAATGGGTTTCTCTGCTCTGCTCAGGCCACCCATCGGCACCGGAGGGGTCCCAGCCCGGCCCATGGGGCCGTGTCGGCACGGCCGGGGAGCGGTGGGAGAAGCAGAGCCAGCTGCAGACGGAGATCCTGGAGTTGCAGAAGGAGACTTTGCAGCTGCAGAAGGAGAAGATCCTGCTGGAGAAGGAGAAGCTCTTCCTGGAAATCATCAAACTCCGCAGGGAGCTGGGCACCTGACAGTCCTCTGCAGGCGCTGGGGTGGCCCAGGGCCACGGTCCCCACTGTGGGGACGGGGACAGCCCACTCCTCCGGGAGATGGGCACCAGCTGCCCGCCTGCAGCCAGGGTCCCGTGGGATGAGGCCGGGACGGCTGTGCCGTGAGCTGCCATCTCCCTCCCACCTCCAGAGCCAGGGCTGTGCCCACCGTGGGCTCCCTCCTGCCTGCTGCCTGCCTGGTAGCCCTCGGCCAGCCCGCTGAGAGCCAGCCCCAGCACGGCGTGTCGTCCCGCCACAGGAGCCTCGTCCCGTCAGGCCAGGGGTTTGGATGGGCAGCACTGGGGGGGTGCTCGTGGTGTGGGCACAGCCACCCTCTGCCAGTTGCCCGTGTCTCCTCCGGCCCCTTCACTCCATTTCTCTGGGGGCATTTGTGGGCTCGGAGCTCCCTGAGCATCTCGGCCGCGGCAACGTGGGGCTCGGGCACCGCTGGTCGCTGCAGGTGGCCATGTCTGAATAAAGGTGATCTCTGCAGGACGAGTGCCCAGTGCTGTGCCTGACAGGGGTGGGGGTGAAGTCACCCAGGGGGTGGTTTGGGGGGTGCAGGCAGGTTGCTGAGGACTGCTCAGCTGCGGGTACCACTGGTCGAGGCTGGATCAGGGACCCCACCCGAGAGGTCAGGTCATGCTGGGCAAGGAGTGGGGAAGGGCACAGCCCAGCATCGCCCAGCCTGGCCCCGCTCCCTCCAGTGGGGGCTGCTGAGCCCCTGCGGCTGGACCCGGACACCCACCAGCACCCTTGCCCACGTGCAGAACTCGGGTGCTTACGCTTAATTTCTCTCTGCAAACCACAGCATGCAGCCAAGCCGCCCTTCATGGCTCACCCAACAGTTCCCTGCGGTCAGGCCAGCCCGATCGCGCAGAGGAAGGATGCTGGCTCCGTCCTCGTGTTGCTCACCAATGGCAGCTTATTGCTTGGTGCGACGTTACAGCAGAGCATGACGTCATTGCATTGTCCTCCCATGTCACCATCGCATCATCTTCTCACCCAGATTTAACCACAGCATGATGTTCTTCCACCATTAATCATCATACTTTCGCAATTCCCTTACTTTTAATCTTTACAAGCAGGCGTTTCTTCCCGTTCTTCAAAAAAATAATGGAAAACGTGGGAAGTCAGCTCCAAGGACAAGCAGCAAGCCTGCAGAAGGGTGAAATTATAAAAGACGCCACATTTTTATTTAATTCCCCACCTCCCCAGCAAGGAGCAGTGGCATGGGGAGGCTCAGCTCACCTTCCCAGGAGGGATGCTACACGAAGATGAGAGCTGGTGGGGAGCAGACACAACCCTCCTGCAGCCCCTCCTGCACCCATGAGCCCTGGCACCCCACCACAGAGGCAGCCACCCAAGACGTCCTGGAAGGGAAAGCCATCAAGAGCTGAGGTGTGCCATGAATAACTAAATATAGTTATAAAAAATATATATATAGCTATATGTAATGTATATATAATAATACTTATTGGCAGTTGGACTAAATGATCATTGTAGGTCCCTTCCAACTGAACTATTCTATTTAATATATTTATTTTTATATTATATATTATTGATTTATAGTACAAATTATTGCTTTATTTTATAATATTATGCTATGTTATCCTAAAATATTATGACAACATATTATAATATTTGTTTTATATATGAATATATTTATAATTAAGAATATAAAAGGAAGATGTTCCTCCATGGGGGGGGGGAGGGGCTGTCCCTTCAGAGATGCAACATGCCTTAGGGCACATTGTGCCTGTCCTGATTTTGGCTGGGATAGAGTTAATTTTTCTTATGAGTAGCTAGAATAGTGCTGTGCTTTGGATTCAGTATGGAATTTGGTATGAGAAGAATGCTGATAACACACTGATGTTTTCAGTTGTTGCTAAGAGATCAAGGACTCTCCAACTCCCCCTGTCCTGCTGGTGTGCAGGTGTGCAAGAAGCTGGGGGGGAGCACGGCCAGAGCAACAGACCCAAACTGGCCAGTGGAATATTCCATATCATGTAACGTCATGCTCAGCATATAGAGGAGGGTCGGCCGGGAAGGAGCGGGTTCTCTCTGGATTGTGGTTTTGGGATCTTGGCTTTTTCCTGGATCGCTAGCCGGGAATGGGCTGGGTATCGGTCAATGGGTGACGAGCAATCACATTGTGCATTACCCACTTGTACTTTCTATTATTAATATTATTACTGTTTTATTTTATTTCAGTTATTAAACTGTTTTTATCTCAACCTATGAGTCTCCCTTTACCCATCCAACTCTCTCCTCCCGTCCCCTGAGCAGGGGGAGGGTGAGCGAGCGGCTGTGTGGGGTTTGGCTGTTGGCCGGGTTTAAATCACAACGGTCCTTTCTGGCACCCAACACAAAGCACGAAGGGTTGAGACAACTACAGACCTGGCCAGAGTGTATTACAAGAAATTTGTTATAATCATTCATTATATTGGTTTAATAGTTGCTGGTCATAATGTCAGTTTATTGGCTCTTAGAGTTGTGGCTTTCGTTCTTACGGCTGTGTTATGCATCATCTCAGCTTGCCATATATAGTCCCCATACTGCTGCTTATCACTCGTGGGAGGTGGACTAAGATTTTTCCTTTGCTGTAATATGTAACACTGGTTTCTGGCACGATGAAGTTGTTAGTCCTGAGACCAGTCCGGTATTTGTATTCAGCACTGTTGTTACCTTTGTACTTCATGGGTCATCTAGCAGAAAGGGTTAACGATTCCACCCTTTACCTCTTCTCCTCAGAAAGCAAATCCATGAGAGGACACCTTCCTTCACCTTCACCTTCTCCTCCTTCTCCTCCAGTCTACTTACAATAGCATTTGGGAATTTTGAAAATTTTGAATATCCTTGGAATGTTGACACTAACGTGGTCGTCTTAATGCTGGGAGCCAGCGTGTTCCTGCAGTGTGGTTCAGGTTTTATTCAGGGTTAAGCAACTATTTCAGAGCATCACCCAGAGATCTGCCGCCAGGCTGGAGAGTTATGAATGGCTGGGGGTGTGGGATAGCATGGGCAAGTACCTAGGACAGTGGGCACCCCCAATGTTTTGGAATTGCACCCCTGAACAAGTGCAGAATCCTGAAAAACTAGTACAGTATTTGGAAAAAAGTATGCTGTCACCCTGGCAGTCCCAGAGAGACACAGGTCACTGCAACACGCTGGAGTCTGGCCCGTGCCTAGGGAGCCCTGCCCACCACTGCTCAGTGCCTTCAGGGGAGAGGTCTCTTGACCTGATAACAAAATGACAGACAAAACAGCCACTTCAACCCCAGTGACAGGTGCTGCAGCTGAACCAAAGGCCCAACCTGTGCCAGTATCAGTTGCCCCCATACGGAAGAAGAAATGGACATCATGTTTAGAAAGGGATGAAGAGACTCCCCCTAAGGAGGAAGAAGAGGAGGACGAAGAGGAAGAAGATGACACAGTAACCACCTCCACCCAATATGTATCCCTGAGCAAGCTGCGGGATATATGAAAAGATTTCAGCCATCATCCAGGCAAGCACATTGTCACTTGGCTGCTCAGATGCTGGGGTAGTAGGACCAGTAGCTTGGATTTAGAGAGCACAGAAGCCTGGCAGTGGGAGTCCCTTGCTAGGGAAGAGGACACTGATAAAGTGATTGGAAAAGGGGAAAGAATCTGCAACCTCTGGAGGCAGCTTTTGTGAGGGAAAGGTATCCCTACAAGGAAGAGATTGGATGTGATCCAGGCAAGTGGGTCAGTATAGAGAGAGGTATCTGGTACCTGAGGGAACGGGCTGTGCAGGAGGTCATTTATTATGACCCAACCAACATGCCGTTACCCAAAGACCCAGATGACATCTGTGGACAAGCCATGTGGCAGAAGGCTGTATGGAGTGCACCATCATCATATGCCAGCTCAGTGGTGATAGCAAATTTAGGAGGAGACAATGAGGCATCACCCATGAGTGAAGTGGCTACTCAACTCCAGCAATTCAAAGAGAATCTCTCTTCCTCCCTACTGGCCTGCAGCTCAGATGTGGAGGAACTACCAGACACCACGGAGAAACATATGGAGAAACTGTCCCGAGAATTTCAGCAATTCAAGGATAAGTTCTGCTCCCCAGCTGAAGCACAGCTCCTCCTGGCATCCCGGCTGCCAGTGCTGGGCTGGGTGGTCAGAGGGAGGGTCCCCTCAACACACCATGCAACTGATGCCATGTGGAGTAAGTGGGTCACACTGACAACACAGTGGGCTCAAATAGTGAGTCCTAGCCATCCAGGAACATTGGAAGTGACCACAAATTGGCCAGAAGGCAAAAATTTTGGAACATCACCAGAGGAAGAGGTGACACGTGCTGAAGAGGCCCCACCATTTAATAAACTACCAGATAATGAGATGTGCTCTGTTTGCTGACGGGTCCTGTCGCGTGGTAGGGAAACATCAAAGGTGGAAGGCAGCTGCGTGGAGCCCCGCACAACAGGTCACAGAAGCTGCTGAAGGAGAAGGTGAATCAAGTCTGTCTGCAGAGGTGAAAGCCATCCAGTTGGCCTTAGATATTGCTGAGCAAGAGAGGTGGCCAGTGCTCTACCTCTACACTGACTCATGGGTGGTGACAAGTGCCCTGTGGGGGTGGTTACAGCAATGGAAATGAAGCAATCGGCAGCACAGAGGCAAACCCATCTGGGCTGCTGAGTTATGGCAATTTACTGCTGCTCAGGTAGAGAACTGGGTTGTGAAAGTACATCACGTAGATGCTCGTGTACCTGGGAGTTGGGCCACTGAAGAGCACCAAAACAACCAACAGGTGGATCAACCTGCTAAGATTAATGGGGCTCAAATGGATCTGGACTGGCAACATAAGGGTGAGAATTTTATGGCTCGCTGGGCCCATGACTCCTCAGGACATCAGGGATGCAATATATAGATGGGCTTGTGATCAGGGGTGGACTTAACCATGGACGCTATTGCACAGGTTATCCATGAATGTGAAATGTGCTGAGACCAAGCAAGCCAAACGGTTAAAACCTCTTTGGTGTGGAGGGCAATGGTTAAAATATAGATATGGAGAAGCCTGGAAGATTGAATATATCATGCTCTCATAAACTTGTCATGGCAAATGCTATGTGATCACAATGGTGGAAGCAGCCACCAGGTGGTTGGAAACATCCCGTGCCTCATGCCAACACCCAGAACACTGTTCTGGGCCTTGAAAAGCAAGTCTTGCGACAGCATGGCACCACAAAAAGAACTGAGTCAGATAATGGGATGCATTTCCGAAATAATCTCATAGACACTTGGGCCAAAGAACACAGCACTGAGTGGGTATATCACATCTCCTATCATACATCAGCGTCTGGGAAAATTGAGCAGTACCATGGGTTGCTAAAAACTATACTGAGAGTAGTGGGTGGTGGAACTTTCAAACACTGGGGTACACAATTAGCAAAAGCCACCTGGTTAGTCAACACTAGAGGATCTTCTAGTCAAGCTGGCCCTGCCCAGCCAAACCTTCTATGTACTGTAGATGGAGATAAAGTCCCTGTAGTGCACATTAAAAATATGCTTGGAAAGACAGTCTGGGTTATTCCTGACTTGGGCAAAGGTAAACCCATGCATGGGATTACTTTTGCCCAAGGACCTGGGTGCACTTGGCAGGTAGTGCAGAGCAGTGGGGAAGTCCGATGTGTGCCTCAAGGAAATTTGATTTTTGGGTGAAAATAGCCAGTGAATGGAACTGTATAATGTCAATTCCCAAATAACCCTGTTAGAGCATATCATCATCGTTACGGTTGATACGTGTTATACTAGTGGCATACATCAATAAAAAAAATTAACTTTGATAGAGTCAGGACCAATTTCAGCAATTGGTGCCCATCAATTTCCTCAGGATTGACATCTTTAACCCGCAAACTGTGAGCATGGACCGCACCAGATACATCAGCTCCAAATGTAGTACAGACTACACGCCATTCCCCTGCTCCAACCAAGGTCACCCACTCCACCAACTGAGTCAATGCCACTTCACCCCTCCTGCTTTAAAAGACTCTTATGACATATGCAACTCGAAGTTATGGACTAAATAAATTCACTATACATTTTGGCGTGATGGCACATAGACTAAGGGAATGATATTTGTGCCTATACATCAAAAACCAGGGAAAGGGATAGTGGGTAATTAGAATGTATCAGGAAACATGGGACCTGAGCATAATGTAAATAGTATGGAATAAAGAGTAGATACTGTCCTGGTTTCAGCTGGGATAGAGTTAATTTTTCTTATGAGCAGCTAGAATAGTGCTGTGCTTTGGATTCAGTATGGAATTTGGTATGAGAAGAATGCTGATAACACACTGATGTTTTCAGTTGTTGCTAAGAGATCAAGGACTCTCCAACTCCCCCTGTCCTGCTGGTGTGCAGGTGTGCAAGAAGCTGGGGGGGAGCACGGCCAGAGCAACAGACCCAAACTGGCCAGTGGAATATTCCATATCATGTAACAGTCATGCTCAGCATATAGAGGAGGGTCGGCCGGGAAGGAGCGGGTTCTCTCTGGATTGTGGTTTTGGGATCTTGGCTTTTTCCTGGATCGCTAGCCGGGAATGGGCTGGGTATCGGTCAATGGGTGACGAGCAATCACATTGTGCATTACCCACTTGTACTTCCTGTTTTTGTTATTATTGTTATGTGCATTACCCACTTGTACTTTCTATTATTGTTATGTTTTATTTCAATTATTAAACTGTTTTTTTCTCAACCTACGAGTCTCCCTTTACCCCTCCAATTCCCTCCCCCATCCCCTGGGTAGGAGGAGCGTGAGCGAGTGGCTGTGTGGGGTTTCGCTGTTGGCTGGGTTTAAACCATGACAGCGCCTCTGAAGGGGCGTATCCCCCCCAAATTACCACCTACCTGGTTCCTTGCAGCCCGTGGCCGGTGCAATGGGGACTGCGGTGGGACAGTGTCCCTCTGGCACTCAACGCACACCCACTTGTGCTGGTGCAGCCAGCGCCTCCAGCCCTGCCCGCGGCAGGGGGGCCCTACCTGCATCAGGCGGAAATAGCCGTGGTAGCTGGGGAGGGAGGAGATGGGGGACGGGGGAAAATATGGGGAAAAAGGGGGAAAACGGTAGTTGGAGGGCAGGGCAGAGGTTGTGGTGTTTTCTTGATGTGGGGGGGCAGTGTAAATGGGCCATGGGTTTTGGGGTGCAAAGAGGCCTATGGTTGGTGGGGGTGAGGAAGGTAATGGCTCTGTGGGGGGTTGCAGAGGGACCATGGTTTGGGGGGGGGGGATGGGAGAGTAATGGCTTTGGAGGGGTGCAAAGGGGCCACAACTCTAGAGGGGGTGCAAAGGAGCAATGGCTTTGTATGGGGGTGCAAAGGGGTCATGGTTTGGTGGGGGGAAAGGATAATGTCTCTTGGGGAGAGGGGTGCAAAGGGGCAATGGTTTTGTGTGGGGTTGCAATGGGGCTATGGGGGGTGGAAAGGGGCCATAGCTTTAGGGGTTGCAAACGGATCATGGTTTGGGGGGTAGGAAGGGTAACGGTTCTAGTGGGGTGCAAAGGGGCCACAGCTCTAAGAGGGGGGGGCAAAGGGGCCTTAGTCTTGTAAGGAGGTGCAAAGGGGTCATGGGGCTGGGGTGGGGGAGAAGGGTATTGGTTCTAGGGGGGTGCAAAGAGGCCTTGCATCCGGGGGTTGCAAAGGGGCCATGGCTGCAGGGGTGTGTGCAGAGCAGTCACAGCTTTGGGGACGGGAGATGCAGAGGCGCCCCAGGCCCACACCTACCCGGACGGCTCCTCTGGCAGCAGCAGCCTGGCTCTCCGCCAGGGTCCCTGAAGTCCCGGCTGAAGGAGTCAGGTAATATCTTGGCCACCTCTAGCAGCAGAACAGCCAGGGGACACACACATGGATGGCTACAGGCCCCCCCGGGATGGCAGCACCAGGGATGGGTCACACCCGAGGGAGGTGGGCATCCCCGTGGGATCCGCGTTACCTTCGGCCGTCCCGCAGGTCGGGTGCTCCCCCGGGCACCCGCGGCACTGCTTGAGGTCGGGACAGGGCTTCCCTCTGTGCCAGGGGCGCCTCGCTGCCGGCCCCGCACGGGGAGCTGCACCCACTCCACGGCCCCCAGGACCCCAGCGCGCAGCCCACGCTGCCGGCAGGCCAGGGCAGCAGGTGGGACGGAGAAGGGGGAAAGGAAAGCTTCAGTGGCACAAAAGATGGTTGGAGGAGAGGAGGGAGATGCAGCACAGGGGAGGGGAGGGAGAAGAGAGGAAAGGTGACCTCAGCAGCCTGTGTCTCCCGACCCCCCCAGGCAGGGGCTGCCCCACCAGCACAGTGGCATCATGCAGTGCTTCCGCAGGCCTTTATCCCCGTGTCACTGCCACGGCTCTGCATCGCGCTGAGCTGGGACCCCACTAATCCCTCCAGAGATTAGGGAGGGCTGGCTGCTGCAACTGTCCTGGGGGCCACAGCACGTACCTGCCTGGGTTTGGGTCCCCAGGGCGGGCTGGCTCTACACCCCCCAAGCCCACACTCCCTGTTTGATCACCCACCAGCGCAGCTCCTGGGTCCCCGGGGAAGGCACTGCCCGCAGCGGTGGCAGCGGTGACGCCGGGGCGCGTGCCGCTCGGGTCCCACAATGACGGCTCTGAGGCTTGCAACTGACAGCGCTACCATCAGCTGCAGACCAGAGGCCACCCCTGTGGGCTCTCTTATTACACTGGGAGCAGCCACACGTTCAGCATGGAAAAAAAGCGGAAAATCGGGCTATCGCTCCAAATCCAGCCCAGCTGGCGTCCCCAGATGCATCCCATTACTGCTCAAAGTACGGGGCTAACAGATAATAGCAAACACCTGGCACCAAAACCAAAAGCCCCAGGCTGGCGTCCCCAGCCAGCGCCATCCCCTCCGCCACTCACTGCTGCGGGGGCACGCAGCCTGGTAGTCCTCGCAGCAGTCAGCCTGTCCTCTCGCAGTAGCAGCGAGCCCGGTGGGCGCCCGGGGCCCAGCATTGTTCCTGCCCGGGCAGCACCGCTGCTGGCAGCTGCCCGTGGCCCCCACCAGGTAGCTGGTGGCCAGCAGCCAGCCCCCCGCAGAGCAGCAGGCCCCGCATGGCACCGGGCCCCCACAAGCCCCCCTGAGGGATGGTTCCCCCCACCAAGGGATGGCTTCCCTGCGCCGTGCAGGCAAACGCTGGTCAAGGAGTGCCTGGAGCCCCGGGCACACGGTCCCTGGGCTGGGTGGGAGGACAAGGCCAGTTCCCTTCTGCTCCACCACCCCTCACCAGTCCCAGCTCCTCACTCCACAGCCAGGGTGAGGACTTTATAAAATTAAGCAGGATGGTTAATAAAACACTGTGCACGGGACAATGCAACCCCAGAGCAGCCTGGAAGAATCTGTGAATGGGCACTACTGGGTTGAAGCCGATGCTCCCCCAGGAGTAGCAGCTCGACATGATGGGGGACCCCGTCCCCAACCCTCACCCACACTGCAGGAGCCGCTCGCTGCCGGCTCAGCACAGCCCGGACGCCAACGCAGCTGCTAAAGCCAGACTGATTTTATTCAAATTGCGAATGTAAAACAGAATAATAATAATAATAAAAAAAAAACCCAACCCAACCCTCACTGGCTTCAGAGCAGAAAGCCGCAGGTAAACCGTGCCCAGGCTTTCCTTCTCCTCTTTCGCCCTCCTGTGTTAAGGCTGCGTTCATCACTGGTGGCAGGAGGGAGGGACAGGTCAAACCCTGGCTCCCGTGCCCTCCTCCCCCTGGCTCCTTTGGGAGAAGTTTGGCACAAATCCGGTGGGGCCGAGCCCGACGCAGGGCAGGGCAGGGCTCCAACCCCACAGCCATGGGTGTTAGTGGGTCAGCGTGAAGCTCTGAAAGCTATGGGATTACCTATGGGGCCACAGAGAGGCGGCGAGAGGGCAGATGGGGGGAATGTGGCAGAAGGAGGGGTTTGCACCCCCGGCCGAGGGGCCAAGTCTGCAGTACGGGGCTGCACCTCCTCACCCCGGCTTGCACACCCGTCTCGACTGTAAACGGCAAGTGGTGGGGGCACCCAGCTCACCCCATTCCTGGCCCCGTGGTGAGCAGAACTAACGGCCTGGCTGTATGTGCAATTTTGGTCAGCACCTGCTCAGCAGCCCAGGGCTGAGCAGGACCCGGGGGCTGGGATGCTGCACCCCAGGGGGTCTCAGTGGTGGCAGGGAAGAGGGAAGCTGGTGGGTCACTGTCCTCCCATCCCAGGGCGGCAGGGGTGGCGGGCCCCCCCAGAGCCACTGTGAGACCCTGTGCATCGCTCCCAGCCGGCGGTGTCAGCCCCAAGAGCCTCCCCCAGCTGCAATGCCTGGTGAGCAGCTTGGCCATTGCACCCAGGTGGCTCCAGGGGGCTCTCTGCACCCCCAAAAAGAGATGGCCCCCAGGCAGCTGGCAGCTCCTGGCTGCCGAGGGGCCCTGGGAGCACAAGGCCACGGTCCCAGGGGTCACCTCACCCTGGATAACCAGCGCTCACAAGTGATGCGGGACCAGGGGGAAGTGTCACCAGGGGATCGGGGCAGGCATAACCGGGACGCTGGGGGTCTGGATGCTGGGATGTGCTCCCTCCCCGCTCCTTTTAGCGCACAACTAATAATTTAACCTGCTCCAGAGCCTGTTCCTAAACATAAAGGTGGCCGGGTGTGTGGGGAGGGCACGTCGTGTGGGGCAGAGGCGGCCCCGGGCAGCGCCAGCAGGCAGCTGCGGGCTTGGTCACGGCTCTCCAGCTGCAGCCCCGCGGGGCGAGGGAGGTGGGGGCCGCCCCGGCCCGGCCCCCTCAGTCCGTTTTCCACACCTTGTTGAGGAACTTGACCACCTCGTCGTAGATGACGAAGACGATGGCCACATCGAGGCAGACGCGGCCCAGGCGAGGCACTGTGCCCTTGTAAAACCTGCCGGGGATAGATGGGGGGGCCGTGGGGCTGGGTGTCCTCGCAGCCCCCTCCTCACCCATCCTGTCCCCCCCTGCCACCCCTTGCCCATCCCCACTGCAGGGCTTACGCCAGGGGTCCTTCATATTTCATGATCTGGTAGGCGCAGTCCCAGGTGCTCTTGTACTTGTGCGCTTCCAGCCCCTGCGGGATGGGAAAAGCGGAGTCAGAGGCCTGGAGCCAGGGGTGCATCCAGGGGGGATTTTGTGGGGGAGACATAGAGCTGAGGGTGAGCCAGGAGGAACCAATCCCCTTTCACTGCTGTGGGCCACCAAACCCATCAGGGACGTCCCCAGCTCTGTGCAAACACCTCCCAGCACCCCCACAGCCCGGCTGCGAGGGGGCAGCGTCCCCAGGCATCCCCCAAACCCCGCCAGCACTGGGCGCCTGCCCCAGGGGCTGCACAAAACAGCTCTCAAACAGCGGGTGACCCCAGCCCGCTGCAGGCAGAGCGGTCCCGCACCGTGCCGCGGTGCCGTACCTGCATCCTGGTCTTCACCACGTCCAAAGGGGTGTTGCCAAAGACGCTCGCAGCTCCAGCGAGGGCTCCAAACACCCCCGTGACGAAGGGGTTGATGACCTTGTTGGGATCGTCCCCTGGGAAGGAGGAGAGGTTGAAGGGCAGCGTGGAGGTGCGGGGATGAAGCACGGCATCCCCAAGGGAGCCTGCAAGGGAGGTCCCAAGTCTGGCTGCTCATGGTCAGGGCTTGTGCCGTGCCGAGCTGGGGCCCATCCAGCAGCACCAGCCTGCAGGCCCCGTGAGCTGAAGCTCCCCTGCCCTGGCTTTCATCCTTCCTCCATCACGAGAGGCTGAGCCGTGAGAAGCGGAGGGTGTGCTGATGGAAGGCCTCCTGAGGAGGAGCCAGTGATGAAGCCAGGGTGACCTGTGGGGATGGGAGCACCATACCTTTGTACCAGTTCTTGAGGGAGGTCATGACAAAGAAACGGATGGCCTGGTTTGATCCTTGCTTGAGAACGGTTGCGGTTAAGCCCTGGTAGGTCCCCTTCAGTCCTGAAGCAAGAGAGAGCACTGGAGGGGAGCACCAGCCTCACCCAGGCAGAGAAAAACCTCCCTAAGCCGCCAGTCCCAGCCTGTACCCGTCCCCCACATCCTACCCTGTCCTCTCAGAGTGGGAGGACCCAGGGGGTCAGGGTGCCACTTCCACAGGACTCACCCTGTTCCCGAACAATCTCCCGGACGCCGTGGAAGAAGCCGCGGTATTTGGGCTTGGGGGAGCACTGGTCATGGATAAACTTCACCTGTGGGGAGACAACACGCTTGTCCTGGCTGAGGCGAGGGGAGAGGTGCTGGCCCCAAAAGGTTGCCAGCCACCTCTCGCCTTGCTCCAGGGATCGTCCCGAGATCAGAGCTGACCCACATGGCCAGGCAATGCGGGTGCAGACCACGGGGGAAGCCTGCGCCCACGGCCAACAGTGCATTTTGCAGAGAAAAACCTGGGAAACTGCCTCTGCAAGCAACCACATGGGTTTTATAGTGCTAAAATGAGTGACAGGATGGCTCCTGGGTGGGAAGCTCCTCCCTGGAGCAGGGAAAGGGCTGTGGCCGCCAGAACTGACCTCTCCATGGGGCTTCCCACCATCAGCTCCTCCCCTACAAAACCAGCCTGAGCAAACACAGAGCCCTCAGGTCCCCGAAAGCCGCGTATCCCTGGCTATTGCCTGGCTTAGCCCAGGCGGGGTGCCGGGGTGAGGGGACGCTGGTGGCTGCCTCTCACGCACCTTTATGGTCTCCATGGGGCAGACCACCACCACAGCCTCGGCCACGCCAGCGCCCAGCCCACAGATGAGGCCCCGCGTGCTGTCCAGTCGCCCCAGCTCATCTCTCATCTGGTTGCTGAGGAACTCGAACATCCCGAACCTGTGAAGGAGCCACCGTGCCGACCCCTGAGCGCCTGGCCGGGGGGCTGCACCCCCCTGCTCTGGGTCTATCCCCAGGAGCAGCCGTGCACCCTGCAAAAGGACCCTCTCCGTCGGGGAAAAGACCCAGCTTTGGCCAAGAGCTGCTGGGGACACCGAGGGCAAACCCACCCCCCCGTTTTGCCGCTGCCTGAGGTCCCCCCCAACTGACCCCATGCCACCGGGGACACTTACCTGACGGCGGCCTTGGGGATGGAGCCATACACCAGCGAGCTGAGCCCTCGGTACAGCCCCCGGATGCCATGGTCGCGGACAGTCTGCTTCACACAGTCCCCTGCAGCAGAGCACAGCGGTGCCGCTGTCACCCGCCCCACCGAGGGCCACTGGGCCACCCCCACTGCCCGCCCCACCAAACCCCGCTCACCCCCCCAGCTCCAACCCGTCTCCCCAGGAGTGTCCAGCTCCGGCTGGCGGGTTGGGGCAGGGCAGCGGGGGCGCTCTCACCGATGCCCTTGTAGCGGGGAGGGTTTGCCTTCTCGTCCAGCTGCAGCTGTGTCTTCACATACTCGGTGGGGAATGTGATGCAGATCTCGATCCCTCCGGCCAGGCCACCTGAGCGGGACGGGAAGGGACGCTGGGGCTGGGAGCAGCACCGTGCCCACCCAGTGCCACGTGGCTGCTGCCGGCTCCGCGACGGCTGAGCCCGAGACCTCTGGCAGCCAGGTCTGGGCTGGGACGTGGTGTCCCTGTCCTCACCCAAACCCCTGGGGACTTCACATAGCAGCAGGGCCCTGCGCCAATCTGGCAACCTGCACAGGCATCACCACCTGGCCAAGGCAAGAGCTGGTGAGGGGATCGGTCAGAGGGGTGGAAAAAACAGGCAAAACACTGCACCCATGGCTGCTGTTTCAGCATCGTTTCCCCCCTCAAAGGCACCTCTCCCCCTCCAGAGCCCCACCCACACCCCACAGGTGAGCTGCCAGCACGGGGGTTTATACACCCAGCGGAGCTGCACGAGGCCCAGCACCACTCATCCAGCGCCAGCAGGAGCCCATTTGCAGACCCAGCCATGCCATGCGTGGAAGCGCAATTATCATCAAGCCCATCTGGCCGCCCTGGGCTCACGCGGTGGCGGCTGCTGGGCGCTGATTACACCAGCTGAAGCCTTTCCTGCCAGGGCCTGGGGACACGCTGGCACCCCGTGAACAGTGACACCGGCTCTCGGGGGTTGGGGTCCCCTGGGCTCGCTTGAAGCGCCCTGCAGAGCCGGCCCCGCCTGGGCTGGGGGTCCCCAGGAGCTGGGCTCGCTCCGGCCAGCTGGCCGGCTAACAACTGCCCGGCTCGTTTCCTCACATCAAAGCGTGGCCGGGTCCTGCTGAGCAGCGGGAGCTCTTTGTGCTGGTGCAAGGAGGAAGCGCGGGGCTGAGCCGGGCTCCTCCAGACCCCGCAGGGGCAAACCCCGCTGCAGCCCAGGCCCGGGCTTGAGCCAGCACCGGGGCAAAGCCCCCGACCTGGCAGTTTCCCTGGGACCGGGCGCTTGCACGGTGCAATGCTGGGGAGCCTTGGGATGCTGCTGCCGGGGCTGAGCACCCACCAGAGCAGCCCCCAAGGGCC